TTAAAATTTTCTTGCAACGGATCCTGGATTGACTGGGTATACCCCGCTAAGAAAACTCGTTACAATATAATAAATTTGATTAAATCAATTTAAAAAATTTTTCTCGGTATTACATACATAAACAAAAACTGTATATATCCGTATGACAAGCACAAAAGGGACTGGATATAAAAACATTAAGAGAAGCACTTGAATGTATTCTGTCGAAATAAATTTCTTCGGTAATTGCTGTGTTGATTTTCTTCTAATATAAACCAAAACCCTTAACTTTATAATTATTTATCCACAGCTTTTTCATGCTCATGAACAAGAAGAAGAATAAATTTGCAACTTTACAACAATAATCTCTTTCAAACAACGCCTGCCAAGGCTTGCTTCATGCCACTTCAATCACTTATTCACGTGACGCCGTTTCTGTGGCGCCGGTTCCCGTCATTTTCAAAACAATGGAAAAATGCGGATTTTGTTTTTTCCAACTCGCCATTGGGCTTTAAAAAATTCTGGCAACTTTTCGCCCTCAAAGACAAAACCTTCCTGCCGGTTTACCCGTTTCAAACGGGACTCTGCCGACGCCCATAACACCAAGCGCAAAAGAGTTGCTTACACCACAAAATATCAAAAAAAAAAAAAAATTAAATCCTGAAAGTAATTCTTGATAACCAAAAAGTGAAGTTGGAAAAGATAGCTGGCATCTTAAAGCTTTCAAAGGAAGTTTATCCACTATTTTGCCTGAAGATATGCGAATATTGCAAAGATATATGTTTCCAATTAGGCACTGCCCTTGTCAAGAACAATACCAACTCAATGACTACAACAACAAAATTGCATTTCATTTGCTGTAAAGTAATTATAATAACAATAATAAGATTCCATATAATAGGTCTGTTGTATACCGTTCGTGGGAGCTTTCGACGTATATATATATATATAGATCGGAGAAGTGGTTGCAACAACACATATACCTGAAAATAAAGTTGAATATGAATCTCTTATGTTCAATGAAAAACTTACTTTAATCAGATTTTTCTGATTGTCTGTTTATTCATTGGTATCATCAATATGATCCACACATTGTTGGTTATTTTCTTGGAGTCTAATTTTTCATGTTTCCAACTAGTTAACTATTTCACGTTGTTCGAATAAAGATACGGAATTCATAAGATATTTTCGTATCCACTAAAAGCACTGTGTTTGTAACACATGAAACATCTTATAAGTATAAAGATTCTTGATCAATCTAAAGACCGGAAATGCGGGCTTCTGCTCTGACCAACTTGGGTAATTTTCTACACCAGTCTGTGTGCAAAAACTTCCAATGTTTTTACTAAATTTGAAGTCGATATGTTCTTTTTTTTTTTTTGCGACCAGGATAGTGCCAACAACACACACCACACATACTCATAGACATCATCAATTCAGAATTTGACGCTGATCAAGAATATATATATTTTATAGGGTCTCTGAAGCTTCCTTTTGGGTGCTACATACATTATGAAAAAAAACAAAATAAGTATGCCTCCATTTTACATAGGTCGGCCCCCATCCCATCTAAAACTTGGTTTTAAACACAAAATTCATGAAGTTATCCATACTTAACTAAAAGCCAATAATAATCGTTCATTTCTTCAAGTTCGCAATCAATAGATCCCTAAATTGAGTTATAGATCCTGCAAGCAAATGTCATACACAACCTAAAAGTTATATATATATTATTTCTTACAAAAAAAAAGTTGAGATAGACTTCTCGCGTTTTCCATTTAAAAAACGTCAAAGCGTTCCCATGAATATATTATGAAATAGAGAAATAAATAAAATCGATTTGAAGAAGATAACTAAAAGAATATTTCTCAATTTTTCTATAATATAATTAAAATGTTAACTTACTTTGTCACTTACCCGCACGCACCAAATGTTGGATCGTATGCATAATAACTAGAAGGCTGTAAAGCGGTTGATGTCCAAGCAGCTGGACTACTTGAGCTGTCCTTTAAGGCATAAGGGGTGTTCTGTAACAAAAACAAGAACAACAACAGCAAACAGATAAATAACTGGCAATAACATGTAGTACATAAAAAATAAATAAATAAATAAGTAAAAAATAACAAAAAAGAAAAAGTAAAAGAAGAAGAAGAAAATTAAAAAAAGAAAAACAAAATAAAAATCACATTATGTTAGAAAAAATGTAAAATAATAAATACTGTAAATGAATAATTAAAACACGTTTACGTTATGATGTTGCTGTTATTATTATCACAATTATGTGTTTGCATATGGATATAGCTATGAAATATGAAACCAATTGCTATATTATAATTAATATAATGAACATGCAGACGTGGCATTATAAGCAGATGCGCACCTGAATATAAAAAAAGAAGAAATAAATAAAGGGAAAAATTTTCGAACATGTAAAATTACTAAATTAAAAAAACATCGACATCATGCAATTTTATTTGCATACAAGTCGAATAAAACAACACTTGGCAACGTTAGACGTACATATAGACAGGGAATAATCGAAATAGGAAGAAAATTGTCGGTATTCGTATTGTGCAACATTTTCCAAGTCACAGTATATAAGTTATATTAACTATATATTAATAAATACTCCCTCTCCCTCGCTTTGACAGGCTTCAGCTTCTTAACTATAGGTTTTCCTTTATGTTATGCACTTAAAGCAAAAGCAGAAATAAAAACACAAACAAAAACAATAATACTTATTTACATAGAATTATCGTTAGGCGCTGTTTTATGATCTACTGCACATGTTGGCTTGCTCGGTTGTTTGAGTCATTTTGCTATTCTGCTACTCGGTTTAGCTGTCATGCAAGATTGACATGATATCGTATACTAAATATAATTTTTTTTTAATTATTGCGAGATGAGCAGCAAAAGTGTAAATGTTCAGAAGAAGAAAGAAAAAAAAAAAGAGAAATAATTGAACAAATTATTGATGAGCATAGACGACCTAAAACTCAAAAAGAAAAATTTTCGCCTGCAGACTTTTTCTTTTATATCATCGCAATCGTCTGGCGTTTGACTTAACTTGCTGATGTCCGCTGAAATGGCTGGTTACTTGAGTGTGAACCGACGCCGTCGCCCAGTAATGCGACAATCGCCATAATAGGAGGCCTCACTGCATCTGATCTACTCAATTGATTTCAGGGAAACATGCAACTGTAAGCATTCTGTGGACAACTTTGCTTGGATAGAAGGGAAATAACAGAATAGAAATAATCGGGGAGGTTATTACGAGTATTTTTATTTATTAAAGAAAAATTATTATTTTTCAAAAATTCTAAAAAATGACAACGCCAAAACCATTTTTGCAAGGCACTATCAATTTCTGTTTTGGCAATCAGGACTAAGTTCATCAAAGAAATTAACAGGCAGACGGATCGACGGGCTGGCGAATGTGTGTAGACGACTAAGGACTAGAAATTGATCAATAATATGTAGACTTTGTAAGATTTCTGAAACTTTTTCCGAGGTGCTGCAAAGGGTTTGGCAATAAGAATAAAATTTCAATACCCTGTAATATTTAGCATGTGTAATCGTTTCCTTTTTCCATTTTTGCAACAATCAAAATTCTTTTATTTTTTAAAGCACGGGTGGTCTTAGGTTATATTACCTTGTGTGTGTTTTCTTCAAACGATTTGGCCAGATTTCAATATTAATCTGTCTGCAAGAATTTCGAGTGTGTCTCAAAAATTTGAAAACGAGGGCTTCATTTCTGCTACCAGCAGAGTACTTGCCGTACATAATACGCACACAGACAGACAAGTAGACGGACATACTTAAATTGGTTTACAATATGATGCTGATCAAGAATATAAGTATATATATATATATATATATATATAAGTATAATTTATGACGAAATGTATATAACCCTTGCCCTTTGTTGTAGTTCTATAAACAAAAGTGCTTATTAGATATATATATATTTTTTGCTCTAAAGGGGGCAAAATTATATATTTACGAAACCGTTTAATCCAATCTGAGCATCGCCCCATATGCACGTAACCTAACTCTTGGGATATTGTCTGCGTAACACGTTTTAGCCACTTTTGTTCCAAACAATATATTTGAAGAAGTATTTGATCCAAACGTCAGTCAAAAGTGTGTTTTATTTACATTTACTTTCAGAACCACAACGATCCCACACAATTATTCTTAACGAATTATGGAATTGAACAGAAAACTAATTTGACGTCTGTCAAGTTTTAATTTCGTTTTTTTGCAGACGAACGGGTTGATGAACACATAAAACATATGTATGCATGGGTAAACTGTATAGTATATACACCTTCATAGAGTATCTTTGAAATTTTTCATTACTAAATACATAGGATGATATTCGTTCCTTCCTATGCCTTGAAATTTTATTTACGGGACTCACAAAGTCGCAAAACTCTATACATTTCAAACATGAAGTTTACAAATAGACATGATTCGCTCTCAAACAAGTTTACTATCGCTAAGAATAGTTGACACCTTGGATTTCATAAATTCATCCTTACTACTGACTAACAATATTTTGACCATGTATAATAATATTTACTAAGTTCTGGGGTCTAAATCATTGATAAATTATTGAAAAGTACTATCAAGTTAGTTTATATAAAATTGCTAACTTAATACGATCGGCAAATTAATCTCTACTAAAATAGTCTTCACGATCAATTAATAGGCCACTTCACAATCTATACTATGTAGCTTTAAAAGTTCTTAGAGATAAATTCGTTTTTTTTTTTTAATGTGGTCAATCATTCGAGGGACACTTTTTATTTATGTAACATGCCCGTTAGAAAGAAGTGACGAAAGTCAGAAAGAAACCACGAAGAAGACAGAGTAACAAGGAGTGTGGCCACAACCTAGTGTGTATGCTCAATCGGTAAGTACTATGCTTTCACCAACTACGTACCCACTGGAGCGACAGTCAAAAGTAAATTTATAGTCACCGACGACTTGAATCAACATAATCTTTTATGGACATTATTAATTATTCTTTTTTCGTAATTGAATTTAATGTATCTGTCTACTTAGTTAGTCCCTTTTCAGCACCCATACAGGTTGGTATTGTGTCCATTAGAAATCATTTTGTCATCAATTAAAAGCCATCTCTGGCTGTTGGTCTGTCAGCCATCCTAAACGAATAGATTCTAATGTTCTTTTGAATTATATTGGCTTTCGGAGCTCTTCCAAATCGAAGAAAATTGTATTTTAAATTAAATACGTATTTGAGCGTACGATATTAAAAAAAAAAAAAATTAAACAATAATGGTGTATATGATCATTAAGCACTAAGTGATTCGACCCAGGCCGAATAAAACTTGTTTTGTAATTTTATTCTATTATTATATGTAAGCACATTGGTAACAATTTGATGCGATTACTTATTTTACGCTAACGTGATTTTTGTAAATATGTAATGGAAACTTTAGCACAAGATTAACCCGCCTACTTTTTAATATTATGGCAGGGACGTCTGCAAGCTTCAGGAAATACGCAGTAATTGTAAAACAAATGCGCATATAACAAAACTTTTTGCCTGTTAGATGGTTAGTTGCTTTCTCATTTAACCCAAAGCTATTATCTGAACGCAAGTAATGCGATTACTACTAAACTCTTCAAACAGCCAAACATGCATACAGCAAATATTTTTTCTTATTTTCTGTTTTGTAATTCTATGTATAAGTTTCCGTAGATGTCTTAACTAAAGAAATTATTGTTAATAAAGATTGTAGCAGCCGTCAAGTTTTGTCTACAGTTTGTTAAAGGTTAGACATGTAATTGTAATTTCAATTATACTAAAAATTCTGTCATGCCACTTATTTGTATATCGTGAGCTATTTTGGTGACTATGTTATTGTATCGTTGTTGTTGTTAAGCTGCCACTTTGGGACACAACAAACCGCCACCTATACTGACTTCAGAAAAAAAGAAAAAAAATACAATTAAATTGTTGTTCAGTTGTTGCTTATAAAGAATAATGAAACTTAAAGTAAGAGAGCACAAGCTTACGCTAAAGCATACATATGTGAATGCACTGCAAAGTGCATTAGATCAACACTGAAAGTAAGCTAGGGTACTGCGGTACTGAGCAACTGAAAAACGCCACTTAAATGCTCATTAAAAAATACCTGATTCCAATTATCGCACGAACATACATATGTATATATGTATGCATATATATGTACTTTATAAAGCCCTCTTCCCTTATTAAATTCCTATTATAGCTAGCTCTTCATATTTGCTTTCCTTTCTTCCTCTCTTCCGCAACTTTACTTGCAGTAAGTTTTGCAAAAGGTGTAAGTTATTTCTGTTTATCGTTTGTTATTAGTTGGTATTTTCTCATTTTTTGGTTGTTTTTTTTTCTTCATTTACATTGTAATCGCTACGTATAAGCAGAAATATTGCATGAACAGAACCCGTTGTCGTTGATTATAATAGGTTGAAGAGAAAGTTCTGTGGTATTTTATTCATATACTTTGTTTTAACACAAACCCAAGAGATTTAATGTGATCTCCAACAGCTATATCATGAATGCCCAACTCTTCCGCAATTTCTCGACTTGTTAAATGTGGATTATTTTCCAACATGGACTATCGATCCCTTTCTTGGAGGCTCAAATCCCCGGAACGAAATTTTCTAAACCATCTTTGACAAGTACGAATATTTACAATATCTTTTCTAAGTACCGCACATAAATTTTTACATGCGACCGATGCCTTGCTTCCTTTTTGAAATTCATACAAAAGGCAGTGTTATAAATGCACTTTATCTATTGACATATTTTTCACTTTAAATATCACAAGTAAATGATGAACGGTAAAAAAAGAATCGTTTTATATTATACAGCAGCTACAAAAACAAAAAAAAAATCCGAATGACTCATTAGCTAGGTGTTTTTTTTATTTACGAGAAAAATTTCCTGACAATTTAAAATACGACAGAACTTTCCCTCCAAACTAATAATAAAAATAGTTTCTTAACGTTTGTTTTATTTTTTTTTCTTTTTTTTTATTTACATTGAAGTGTTTCT